CTGATCTGTTTGCCCGTATTTTGGAAAAGGAAACCGTCCCCGAAAACTAGAAAGAGTCTGCAACAGCGCTCACCTTCAAAAAGAGGCTTTTAGTGAGCGTGGTGTCAGCTTAACCCCGGTTGTAACGAGGCCGCTGGGGTCACTTGTGCTTCGTCACCCTATAGTGGCTCGAGAAACACTGGCTCGAGAGCAGCAGGCGGGATTCCGGCCTAGTAGGGGTTGCGTTGACCAAATCTTCACACTTCGTCAGGTACTAGAACAATGCCATACATAAAAACGACCCACGATTTTAGTATTCCTGGATTTCCAAGGCGCATTCGAGTCGGTTGATCGGTCTATTCCCTTGAAAAGCTTGCTCATCAAGTATACGGTGAACTGTCCAAAAGCTTCCATACACAAAGTGGTGTCCGTCATGGGTGCCCATTCTCTCAATTTTCACTTCATTTCATGATCGATCGTGAGATAATAAGACGAACGCTGGAAAGCCTGCAAAACCAGGTGTTCAAATATTCTGTGACAAAAACCTTGTCGATCTGTAATACGCAGACGACATCGTTCTCGTCTCTGAGGAGGGGAAGGCACAGGTACCTTCGGTTGAACTGACCAATGCCATCTTATCTTTTGGTATGCAATTTGCACCCACAAAATGTAAGGTCATGTTCCTGGACATAGTTACTAAGCACGCCACTTACAAACCAGCGGAGGCACTCGAAACTATGGGCGTTTATGTATCATGGGAGTTGTATTAGTTCCGATTGTAGTGTGACACATGAGGTCAATGTACGAATCTGCAAGGCTCGGGTCACATTTGCTAATTTGAGACACCTATGGCGAAAAACAGCATATCCCTGAATCTCAAGGGAAGTGTGTGTCAAGATACAGTTAGGGCTGTTCTGTTGTATGGCTGACACTTGGCCTGCCTGAGCAGCGGAAATGAGACGTCTACAGGTGTTTGACAATCGATGTCCCAGGACCATAGCCCGCGTGGGTTGGTGTCGGCAAATCCGTAACCAGGAAGTTAGAAAGCGCGTTTTCGGTTGTGTAACGGGTACTTCCATTGAAGAATGTGTCTAGCACCAGAGGCTGCGTTGGTTAGGACGTGTTGCATACGCCGAACCATCGTCTGCCGAAGAGAGTGCTGTTTTCCATGCCCAATTCAGAGTGGCGTAAACCGAGGGGGTCAACCCTTGACTCGGCAGAGTATAAAGTAGATCACGAAACGCTTGGGTGCTGTCGGTGCTACTCGCCTTCCAGGATGCGGACCGCGTGATCCTCACTGTGCCTGGTTGGAGACACTAGTTGATATGACTACCAACCGATGTCAG